TGAAAATATTGATGTACAGCGAACTGAGTTACGTGTATCTCAGAGCTGTACATCAATATTTTCAACGACATGCAGCCAATCTGAATATTTTTCTAAGAATTTAGATCTAGTACGATTCGACTTTGCCCAGTAGTGGGAAATTCGTTTACAAATATTCTTAATTTTAAGGCTTAAAGTCTCTAAATCAATATTTTCGATGTCGTCAGAAAGGGATGATGTTTCGGTCAAAGTGCTCAGGACGTGTTGCATTTTTTCATTTGGATTACCCACTTTAGAGTGCCAAATATCAAAAATTGTCATCCTCGATACAGAACATTTGAAAAATGTACCTAAAACAATATGAAAGCTGAACTTAAAAAAAAATTAAAAATTCAATACTATGGACATGCATACTTTGACACCCCTTTAAGCCAAGAAGAGGCAGCAAGATGCAAATGAAACTTATAGCTCTTAATAAGGACATACTCCTTATTCAAAAACCATATACCTCAGGTGCAGCTCAGCGCAGCCAAAAGTTGTAGGTCTAAAGGAAATTAAGTTATGCCAAAAATTTTCACCAAAAAACTGCCTTCAATAAAAAAATTATATAAAAAAAATATGCATAAAAAAAATTTAAAAAAATTAATAATAAAAGTACATACCATGCTCTTGGATCTCCATGCTTTCACAACACGTAAACACTTGATTTGGAATAGTGACACTCAAAAACAAAGTGATTAAGTTTCGATGACTCACACGTGGTGATAATTAGTCTCGCGATGCGCTCACTTCCGATGCACAAAAGTGAATGATAACGTGACCTAATTACATTGATATTTATAGTTTTTGGAAGCTTGTTAACTAGTTACTAACTTAGTGAGTTGATCTAACCGGGATAAGCCAATGATTTTTTTTGATTTATGGCCTATGGGGGAATCACAGTGTGTTGCCCGCTTGCAAATATCTAGTTAGTGATTGCAGTTGATAAATATTCTATCGACTATCGACTGAATATTGGTAACGCTTATGGAATAAATAGCCGAATTTCTTTCACTTGAATTATCCTCGAATTCATCCAATTACTGAGCAAAAATTCATTTGAACACTGTATTTAGAACTATGTTTATGAAAAATACAAAGAGGAGACATAATTTAAAGTTTTTCATTTAAATTCAATACAGATAATCAAATCCGGCTATTCTTGTTGAAATTAATATGAATAAAAATTGATCTCGATACCAGCAGGCCAACCGTCATTATAAGAATAAAAATGGTAATAACGTAATTGGTAACCATTAGAACGTCGCGTCGTAACATTCACAATTTAGTAATTTTTGGGAAAAAATTATCTTCTTACACAATCTATCGATAAAACTATCGACAACAACTACATAATTATTTAAAATTGTATGAAAACTGGCAAACCATTTAAATGTCGTTTTATTCCGTCTTCCAAAAAGACATGCTATAAGTACATATATACAAAAACACCTACAATATGATTGTCACTAATTACAGGTTTCTTCCCAGGATATGGTTTTTTTTATTTTTCCGACATTTCGACGGAACGTCATTAAATACCACGTTTGGTACGAGAAGTCGTCGAGATTACAAAGTACTAAACGTTTAACCCTGAAGATGGAATTAAACTATCTAGTGCGTGGAATCCGGTACCTAGTGCTTACAAGAATAAAAACAAAAATAGTTTGACGTCAGTTTCGCGCGTGGATACAGCGAGTCTGGTTTGTGGCACGCACGCACGCACGTTACTCTAACTTAAGTTAAGATCAAGCTCATTTCATAGTTTTTATTTTTAATCTTTTTCAGTAACTATGTAAATCAAGAGTCAACCGTGACCACGGGACTTGTAAAGGGTCCGAAACGTCGGTTTGTTTGAAAAAACAAATATACGCGATTTAAATCCGGAAAAATAGTCTCATTTCCTATATGTAAATCATCTTAAATTGATTTAAATATTTTCTGGGTCGGAGAAGGAGAAGAGAGTGCTTGCGTGTATGCGTGTGTGTGAAGGAGGTGCGGTGTACCCACCGTGCAGCGAGGTGGGCGAGGGGGGCTCGGCGGGGGCGGCGGGGGCGGCGGGCGCGGCGTGCACGGCGTGCACGCGCAGGCGCAGGTGCTGCCAGCCGCGCGCCGAGCGCACCACGGCGGCCAGCTGCAGCGCGAACAGCCCGCGCACCGTGAAGGCCTCCTCGCGCGAGGGCCGCGCCAGCTCCACCAGCCACACGTCGATGTACTTCAGCGCCGCGCTCCTCCTGCGGGACACCTCTACTAGTGATGCGACAGACCTCTGCTGCCGCACCTTTTTCACACCCGTTCCAGTGGATCTGCTCTCGTTCGACAGTCCGTCCGTAACAATTACTGTCAAATAACTAATTCTCGACCAAATCTGGTGAAAACACACGCACGTGAGACGTTTCGACTTATGCCTCAGAGTGTATTTGCGATTTAAAGCTCCGAGTGGCACTGCAACTGTTACGGACGGGCGTGTCGTTTACCATCAGGCGCACGACTTGTTCGTCCTATCACTTAGTATCATTAAAAAAAATCAAAATACTCATTTCACTCATTCATCCATTCATTCAATGTCAAGTATGAAGCTTCGTTCGCATCATGCGTCTTTTAATTACTTACTTGACAGTTATTCAACTGCCTCCGTGGCCGAACGGTTACTATACCGGGCTGCCACGCAGAGGTCCCCGGGTTCGATTCCAGGGCCGGGAGAAATATTTGTATGGCCTACATTTATTTCTCTCGTGAGTTTGGGTGTAATTTGTGGTTGTCTATGTGTGTGTCCATGGCACCCGCGACACAGGGTTTCCCTAGTGCAGGGCTATGTTGAGTGTGTGCGTTATTATTATTATTATTGTTTCGGAAGGATGTCGGACGGGAAACGAGGTTAACCCACTTGCTTCCGCAACTTTTATAATGGAACTTTAATCGGAAGTTTGCAACGTTGGCGACGGATAAGGCGCTAGCGCGATTTGCTTTGACATGACATTAATTTACGTTGTAAACTTACAGTTAAATAGCAAACACGCGTACATTTTACAACAGACAATTATAATTATATTTAATTTTGATATTATTAAAAAAAACTACGGTTGTGTGACATACGTGAGAAATTTTTATTTGCCAAAATTTCGCCAGTCGTAATATGCGACTCTTGAACACATAACAGAGAGCTTTGTGATATGTGTGTAGATAAAACAGTGTATGTAACTGTACATAATTAGGCATTAAAATACTCTTGAGATGTTTTTATGAAACTCGCCAGTCGGTCCGTTTCAAAAACCCTCACTCGTATTTTAATGCCTTTCATTATATAACAGTCACATAAACAACTATTGTGAAAAACGTAAATTAAACCACGTCGTTACAAAATTGTATTTCGTACATTGACTTACAATTATATGGACGTCGGGACCGCGCTAAAAAGTGTCCGAACTTATAGGGCGTTAAAATCGTATACAGAGCGTCATTCACGCTTTAGTCTTCGTTTGTTCGACTGACAGCGAAGCTAGTAAAATTAGACAGTACTGCGATGACATTACAATTTAAATCTAACGTTTTAGCTTTTTCATATTCCTTTACATGTCACTACGTTTAAATAGGTTGACTTGGGACATTTTTTTCGTGGTTTTTGTATTAGACCCGTCGCCCATTTATTTGTAAGTCAATGATTTCGTACATTTTTATGAACTGTCACAGGGACAATTCTAGATTATTTTTAGTATAACACGTACCTCTCCACGGCAGCCATGTCCAAATTATGAAAGTGCCGACACAGGCACACGTTCTTATTGACGCACAGAACGTCGGAAATTATCCTGACGTACTCCAATGCGGAGATGCGAGCGTCATTGGCGCGACGCGTCGGGAACAGAACATCGCCCGACTCCAGGTCAAACGAGTCCGTTTTGTAGGGCGAGACGGAGCTGAAACAAAAAAGTGTCATTCACTGTTCGATTAAAAGTGTACGTAGAAGATTTTGTAACACACGGTTGGCTAAGACAATATCCTGTTGTCAGACGAAATAACAAGACCAGCAACAACTATTTTTTTATGTTACCAGGTGACGTGACGAACAAGTCGTGCGCCTGGTAATAAGCGACACGTCTGTAGCAGTTGTAGTGCCACACAGAGCTTTCAATCGCAAAGATCTGAGGACCGTGTAGTTTCACCAGTACACTTAGGGCGCTCCTTTACCGCGAACATGCTCTTGTAATGTAACAGTTCAAAAGTGTGCAATACAGCGGTGAGGGAGGTGAACCGAGCATTCGTTGCTCAACACTTGTAACATTCGGTAGCCTCCTTCACCGAGAACATTCGCCTGTAATGTAACAATCTGTTCAGATTGTAAGGCTGCGACTCCACCAGATGTAGTGGAAATGTTTTCAAGTCTTTCCTTAATTAAGGGCCTGCGAGGGCCGTTGTGTATGTACCTTTGAGTCCCTTTGAGAGCCTCTGGGCACCTTTGAGTGTGTTTGAGTGCGTTTGTGTGCATTTCAGTGCCTTTTTCTGCTTTTGAGTGCGTTTGAGTGCCTGCGAGTGCAAAAGCACTCAAGACACTCAAGACATTCAAGGGCACTCAAACGCACTCAAAGACACTGAAATGCACTCAAAGGCCCTCGCGGACTCAAAAACACTGACACGCACTCGGTGGCACTCGCACGCACGCCTTGCTACCTCGCACTTCTCTGGTGGAATCGCAGCGTAATCGAATGTTGAATGTTGCATTACAGGCGAATGCTCGTCGGTGAAAGAGGTATTGTGGTAATGTAATACTCAAAAACGAATCTTGACAAATTGCTCGTCCCGTCACTTGATATCATAAAAAAAAATTGCCTACCCCATATAACTGCCTCCGTGGCCGAACGGTTACCATGCTGGACTGCTACGCGGAGGTCCCGGGTTGGATTCCTGGCCCGGGAAAATATTTGTATGGTCTACATTTCTCTCGCGACTTTGGGTGTAATTTGTGGTTGTATATGTCCATGGCACCCGCGACACAGAGTTTTCCTAGTGCGGGGCTGAGTGTGTGCGTTATTATATTGAAAATGGAAATGGAGAACGCCCGGGCGAATTTTTAATTTTTTGGAATTTCTACCATAGAAAAATCTCTCGCCGCGCGACGAATCCTCTTTTTTGAAAAATGGTTAAACAAACTTACTCTCTAAAGAAGTCCCTGGGCGGTGCAGTGTCCCTGAAGCCGAGTAAGACCGTATCGGGCTTCATGGCTCCGAGTCCAGATAATCTTGTGAGATGGGCTGCACCGCTGCGAACTGATTCTGCCAAACACAGTTCTACGAAGGCTTTTACCTGTAATATGACAATATATTTGAACTGAATTGCAGGGCAATCCTCGTTTAATGCTAATTTAACAGCTGCACAAAGCTTCGACTTAAAAGATATGCAGCGCCATCATAATAGCTTGAGGACGTAACTGTTTTCAGAACATTTCGGAGTAACTCAAAATTGCATTTTATTTTGGAATTCGTGCGAAAATAGTATTTCAAATATGTTTTGTCATATTATATAATGTTTCAATAAAATTTATGTATTTTTTTAAACGCAAATATGCTAATAATTGTTTCTTTATTGTTTCGTTGACAGCACTCGAAGTTACATACTATCGCCTTCGTTAGCTGTCAAATTTGGCCTCTTATTTGGTGACGACTATAATAGTTGATACTACTTCAGCTCGAATCCAATTTTTTTCGGTACTAATTAATACGGTTCATTTTCTTGGGACACTGGCTTTATTTCAGAATTTATTTTTATTAAAGCTATTTGAAAAATGTATATAGTACAGTACACAGCAGCGCTATACCGGAGCAGCTTGCAACTCGTTAAAAATTTAGAAGACTGATGTATCGTAAGCTACATTTTAATTCATTATTTAAATAATAGATGGCGTTTACACAAAACCGAGAAGCAAAGCTAATAAGGACGCTGAAAATGAATCATATTGCTTTAGATCAATGTATGATGGTAAGAAATTTTATATTTGTTGAATACAGCTCTAGCTTAGGCGTTTCCACAAAGCAGGAAGTAGGTGTAAACAACCCTCCTGTGTCCAGCCGTTAAAGCAGTTACTATGTAGAATTACACATCAACTGTGAACTGACAACCGGTACTCTCACATATACATCAGGTACATCTGTTCTTAAATGTTCTTAAATGTTCTGTTCTATCTCATTTTGACAATTTTACAGTATGAAGAAAAAAGTTGTTTGTTATAATATAAATACGTAGTTTTCAAATATTTTTATTACACATACACTATGTATTTTTGTTTAATAAATCAGATGCTATATAAATGACGCATTAATCGTGTAAAGTTGTCAAAATTGAGATAGTACCGGTTGCCAGTTCACAGTCGATATACTAAAATGTATTTGTGTATTTACCTTTAGGTGGTCAATAAGCTTCAGCCAGTATTTGTGTTCAGCAGCGAGAGGGTCACCAGAGCCATCCAGCTGGCCCACTCTTACGTGGCCTATTACGAAAAGACCACCCTGCAACAATTTAATGTTCGATTCATGAAAGTTAGGTATGGAACCTGCATACTTTGTGGATTTCTCAAGACTGTAAAATGGCGTTACTTGGGAGTCATTTTCGTTTTTGGAAAGGAGTCTAAATTTAGTTAAGGACTCTCAAAATTCTTCACCGTTTCCATGTTCTTTTTAATCAGCACCAACCCCCGTAGTATACCGCCTCGATAAAGCTATTATATCCACATTTAGCTCTCAGATTCGAGTGATAAACCGGCATTTTAAAATTGTATTACAATAGCTAACATGGCGAACATCGTGACGTCACATTTTATGTCCTCGTGAACGCCAACCAATGACTGCAAAAGATTATCACAGTGCCAAACATGGCTGCAAGGTCACAGCTGATTTTAAAACATTTTGACAGTTCTGCACAGTAATTTTATCAACCTAAAAATTGAGCGCGACAAACGAGATGATAATATAAATAATAAAAACAAACAAATTGATATACATATAAATAAGGTATTTACCTGATGAGGACAACTTTTTTAATACAGCTCAACACATGAGAGTAATTAGAAACACGTAAATAGTAACTAATATGATGTAAAAACAGAAACTACAAAAACCCGATATTTTCTGTTTCATCGATTTCGCAGCGATAATTAAACGACAAAGATAGCTGTATACGCAATTTTATATCGTCGTCCTTGTTCTTCACATTATATAACAATAGTTAATTACTAAATAAACGAACTTAGCTTTATCAACTGAAATAAATGTCGTCACGGGGAAGTTTATCACACATATACTGCCATGCTACAGCCACAGCTTATGTAGGACTGTAAGAACTAACCTTCTTCTGGTCATTAACGAAGTCGATCAATGGCGCGGCCTGCCGGGGCGAAGCGATGAGCAATAACATCTGCGGCCGCCAAAACTTCACGTGCTCTCGTCGGGGATCCAGGAGAAGCAGATATTTACGGACCTGGAAAAAAATATCAAGGACTTTGCTATGGGATTTCTTGATTATTGGATAACAAGTCATCGTAAAAAGCCACTGTTTAAAATGCAATTCTCATAAAAATGTTATCACGAATTACTGTCGGAAACTGTGGGTCAACTCTTGTCCGACATCTGTCCGAAAAAAATACTGTTAAATAAACAATACTCGACCAAATCAATATGAAGCTTCATTCGCATTATACGTCTTAATTTGGCAACGGCTTTCTAAAAGTATTATCAGACAGACATGACTGTCGAATATGGAAACACTGGCTAAAGCTAACTGGAAGGTCAACCCCTCACAGACCGGTACAGTAGTTGTTGTGTTATGTAGTTTCAAAGTAATATAGATAGACTAACATTAGTTGATAAGTGTTTGTATAACTAACAAATGATATGGATTTTTAATTATCTGAAATAAATGATTGTCATTATTATCAATTTGGTCGAGTATTTCTTTTTTTATAATAATAGGTGACGGGACGAACAAGTCGTGTGTCTGGTGGTAACCAACACGTCTGTCCCTGACAATTACAGAGCTTTAAATCACAAAGATCTGAGTGGCACTGCCACTGCGTCAGACGCCCCGAAACGTAAGTTTACAAGTCCCATGGGTCTGTTATCAGCACCCTTACGGAACACAGTAATAAATTCAAATTCAAATTCAAAATAATCTTTATTTCATAGGTAAGCATTATTACACTTGAAATCGTCACAATGGTTAAACTCTACCGCTCATTCGTAAGGCAGATTCCCCTGAGAAAAATGAGCAAGAAACTCTAGGGGTTGCTCTTTGTAAATAACATTTACAATATTTTTTTTATTTGAAACATCAGAGATCGAGACTACCTCCATGAGCTAAACGGGTTACTACTACGGATTTTTGTCATCCAAGTACGCAGAAGTTGTATAATAACCTTTAGTATAAAGTTTTTGTTTCACTATAGTTTTAAGCCTCGTGAAAGGCAAATTTTGTATATCAACCGGAATCTTGTTATAGAAGCGTATACATTGCCCCTTATATGATTTTTTGACTTTGTGAAGACGACTATCAAGAAAAGCTAGTTTATTTCTATTCCTCGTATTAATGTTGTCTGTCACTATTTTTCATAAATAAATTACTATTCCTTTTAACATAAATTACATTTTCATAAATGTACTGTGAGGCTAGTGTAAGAATGTTAATTTCCTTAAACTTATCTCTCAAAGATACTTTTGGGCCCAGATTGTAAATTGCCCTAACTGCACGTTTCTGCAGGACAAAGATTCTATTGATATCGACGGCATTACCCCAAAGCAAAATGCCGTATGTCATTAGACTGTGAAAGTAGCTGAAGTAAACCAATCTAGCGGTTTCGACGTCTGAAAGTTTCCTTATTTTTTTAATCGCGTACACTGCAGAGCCGAGCCGTTTTGATAACTTACTTATATGGGGACCCCATTGCAATTTAGCATCTAACGTTATACCTAGAAATACAACTGTATCCACAAGATTCAATTTTTCGTTTCTAACTACAATGTTTGTAACCGTCTCTCTAACATTAGGTAATGTAAATTTCACACAATTTGTTTTTTTCTCATTGTATATCAACCGGAATCTTGTTATAGAAGGGTATACATTGCCCCTTAAATGATTTTTTGACTTTGTGAAGACGACTATCAAGAAAAGCTAGTTTATTTCTATTCCTCGTATTAATGTTATGATCACATTACTGCTTGGCGGTAGAAATAAGGTGGCAATACTTCCCTGGACGAATTCTTTCAAGGAACTCTACTGCTACTAAAAAGTAGATTATCATTTATTTGTCAGTAATTGTTTGAGAACAAAGAGCACAGGGCTTGGACCTTACTGAGCTATCCTTTAAATACTTAATAGACAACATCAAATACATTGCTCCCATCCCAAAGTAGCTAAAGCACTTCTGTTGTGGAAGTCTGAAACGGTACCACAAACACCCGTATATAGAAGTTAGTTTTTCTGCATTGACCAGCCGGGGATCGAACATGGGACGTCAGAGGTAGCGACACCGTGAAAACCGGTGCAAGTTACTCTACCACGGAGATCGTCGGCTCCGGGAGCTACGTGGTCTGGCCTACCACTTTAACTGGCTTGTAACTAGTGCCACTGTAGCTTCGGTCACCTGGTGGAAGATGAGGGCCTGACTGAGGCTGCCCCACTTGGGCTCGGCGGCGGCGGGGGACAGCAGGTGCAGCGCCACGACCAGCGAGCAGCAGGCCAGCGCCGCGCCGCTGGCGTACGCGGGCCGCAGCGCGAACATCAGCGCGAAGCAGCCCAGCAGGCCCAGCAGGGAGGTCATCCAGTTAAAGTGCTTGAACGACGGTCTGGTGACGAGAGAAGCGTATGTATCGACTGGACCTCCTCGATGTTTTCTTCTTCAACTACCTCTATGTACACGTCTGGTATAAATACATATTTCTGTAGTTGAGAGGTAAAGGACCTTAGTAGTGGGTGGTGTGGCGAGACGAGGATTGAAATTTGTATGACAAAATTTCAATTCTCTCCTAGCCCGTCTTCGGTGGAAATGGACTGGATTGACGAGGCAAGAATTGAAGTATTTGTTGATGTAATATTGAACCGTATTGCTGCCTACAAAGAGTATTATACTCATTGACTTACAAATAAATGGACGACGGGTTTAATACAAGAACCACGAAAAAAATGTCCCAACTCAACCTATTTAAACGTAGTGACATGTAAAGGAATATGAAAAAGCTAAAACGTTGAATTTAAATTGTAATACCATCGCAGTACTGTCTAATTTTGCTTGCTTCGCTGTCAGTCGAACAAGCGAAGACTAAAGCGTGAATGACGCTCTGTATACGATTTTAACGCCCTATAAGTTCGGTCACTTTTTAGCGCGGACCCGACGTCCATATAATTGTAAGTCAATGATTAGACTCTACAACGGAAACACAATTTCTTGCGCGAGCTCGCGATGGCTAATAATATCAATCGCGAGATTGTGGGGTACGTACGATTTGAGATTTAAAAAAAGATACGTATTTAATAATAATAATTTACGGGACATGTTATTACATGCGCGTATTTATCGCAATGTGAGCTGAACAGCACTGAATCTTCATTATTCACAATCACAAAACGAGGGCACGCGCGAGCTATTAATATCAATTTTTAACGAAAAGAGGCCCACAAAATTTCGATTCTCGTCTCTCCTCGCCAGTGGAAAACCACCATAAGTCCGCATTTTGGAATTTAAACGGTTCTACAAACCACCAATACCATTCAAAAACGGAACGCAGTAATGCCCACATTACTGCTTGGCGGCAGCATAAGAACCTCGCTGTGTACTGGTCTCCTCTAAATGGCATCACCATTGATACGTAACACTCACCTGAAATTAGGGGCAGATGCCAAATCAAGTCCTAGACAAGCCAGATTGATAGCGAAGTAGCTGGTCATGAACAGGACGGAGTTGACTTGTGCAATTGCGTTCAGCGAGCCGGCCATAATGCCGATCTGAACCAGCAGCCAGGATGCTATTACAGCCAATACTGGGTTGCCGGAACGAGTAACCATGGGGCGTAGCAGTATACCTTAAACAGTTAACAACTCATCATTAATAATAATAATAATAATAATAACGCACACACTCAACATAGCCCCGCACTAGGGAAACCCTGTGTCGCGGGTGCCATGGACACACACATAGACAACCACAAATTACACCCAAACTCACGAGAGAAATAAATGTAGGCCATACAAATATTTCTCCCGGCCCAGGAATCGAACCCGGGGACCTCTGCGTGGCAGTCCGGTATGGTAACCGTTCGGCCACGGAGGCAGTTCATTAAGCCCGGAGAAAAAAATTTTTATGAAATTTACATTAGACCCAATGTTAGACAGACGGTAAAAAACATTGACTTACAAATAAATGGACGACGGGTCTAATACAAAAACCACGAAAAAAACGTAAACGTAGTGACATGTAAAGGAATATGAAAAAGCTAAAACGTTCAATTTACATTGTAATGTCATCGCAGTACTGTCTAATTTTTCTTGCTTCGCTGTCAGTCGAACACACGAAGACTAAAGCGTGAATGACGCTCTGTATACGATTTTAGCGCCTTACAAGTGCGGACACTTTTTAGCGCGGACCCGACGTCCATATAATTGTAAGTCAATGGTAAAAAACATTAAATTTAGAAAAGAATAATTGAACCTTGTAGATATAGTTGTATATTTAGATGCTAAATTACAATGGGGTCCACAAATAAGCAAGTTATTTGGACAGTACTTCCCTGGACGAACTCCATGACAAAGAGCTCAACTGCTAAGATTTTTATGAACACTCGAGATTCATCACGATGTTTTCTTTCAAAAATAGTTTTTCATAAACAAAGTTTACTAAAATCGAAATAAAAAGACAACCTGTTCCAAACTTAAAGTTACCATATTACGTAGAAAATAATAGTCAGTTAAGTTTAGCAGTTTGTGAGATAAATGATAAAGCATAAACACATCATCTCAGATCCATTATTCTCGACGACGATGCAAAGACAGGAGATGTATGAATAACCAATTGAAAATCGTAATTTTAACAACTGTGTAAACAAAAATAACTTAATCATATTGATTGTTTAAAGACGTGTTTACTACTTTTCACTTTTGTGAATAATGAGGTTAATATTGTTACGTACGCTTCAATGTGACATCGTCTTAATAAATAAAAAGTAAGATACTAACCAAATATGTTATCTTTAGCTAAAGCCTCCAAAACTCTTGACGCACCAATCAAATTTGATAAACCTGCTGAAAATGTAGCCATCAGCATCCCTGCAAAAATTGATAACGAATTATATTCCAGTACCATAATAACGCTATCAACGGATAGCATTATTATGTAATACATTGGGGCCCAAGGCAATACCTTGTGGCACACCTAACTTGAGTTGAGACAAACACAGTACTCGCATACGCATTTATTGATAAAATGGTAAAAAATAAATGTCACAGAACTACATTTATATTAAAATGTAGGAACGTTAATATATCTTAAAGTTTAGAAATCGTCGTTGACAGAAGTAGATAAGTAACCTACAAATGCACTGCACATGTGCTATCTAAACGTTTTAGTTCTTACAATAATCTCAAAATGGACTTACCAACAGCAATAAAAGGTGGCCACACATTAATAGGCAGTAAATACACGTAGTTATTTCTAAGCAGGTCTCGGGAACAAGTTGAAGCGGTAAGGAAGCTCAGAGCTACATATGATAATGCAGTGAAGAGCAAGGCTGTCAGGGTGCCTACGGGTATACTACGGCCTGGGTTCTTTAGTTCACCTGGTAAAAATAATAATGGGGTTAATAAACTCTCATATTAGCGCCTGTTATATAAATACAGATAAAAAAGAAATCCAATATTTAGGAATGCTGCGCAGTGTCTGTCCTGCACTTCCTATACACAAGGAATATTTTAGGGCCAAAGATGTTACCTTGACCAACACCTGTTCAAGGTTATTAGTACAAATTGAACAACCTCTCAGGACTATATTACTAACAATAACTACTTTGATTGTTACTATTTTAAAAATGACCATAAATCCTTAAAAAATTAAGCCACTTACCACTCATATTAGCGCCAGCCATAACTCCAGTGACTCCCGTAAACAACACTCCAAATACTGAAGCAAAATCAACCATTTGTCCTGTATTTGTTGTATAGTCTCTGCCATAGTCCTGATATAAATTTTCGTAGAATGTTTTAGATGAAAGGCCTGTATAGTTGAAGAATGTTTGGTTGGTCAACTGATTTGTATCTGGTTTTGGAATCTGGAGGCAAAGAAAAAAATTTTTAGAATGTCTAAGAGCATGTAAGAATGTTCCAGAATCTTACCTAGAAACTTACCTCCTGAGATGGCGCCACAAAGAAACTGACGAACGCGCTACTCAGACACACAAGCATGGTGACCCATATCGCCAGACTGGTTCTTGCGAAGAGTGAGGCTCCAGCTAAAGATACTGCAAGACCAGCCGCGTTAAGAATGGAACGGTAAAGGAAACGGTACCACCATCCATCTGGAATTCCTTGGCTATTTGGGACCAGATATCCTGAAAGCGATGAATTAGACGTTGAAAACAATATTATATAAAAAAAAATAATAAAAAAAGATGTGTTATATAATGGTTACATATTTGTTGTAGATTTTATTTCAATAATAAAAAATTATGTGAAAAAGTGTTTTTTTCAATTATTTATAAAATTAAACATTACAATTTAATGCGCAACTGTCATGTCAGTAGAGGTTTTGCCTTGTGGATATTTTTATTACTTTAACAATATTTTAATACTTTTTGATATCTTATAAAAATTTGAAAACGAACACGTATTTATTACTCAAAATTTAATGAGAATAATTAACGACGTTATGGCGGATTCCATTTATGGACATTGCCTATTTGTGCTACGAATCGACAAGACCTAACCATCATAAAAGAGGAATAATATTTTGCAATTTTTTAATAAAACGATAGAACACAAAGAAAAAGTCCTTCGACTTGACAGAACCTGCGTCTGTACTAAACCAGTGTGACAGATCCAAGGGATTTTTATAGGTATTAATAATTACAACAAACTATACTCTAGCCAAATTCGATGCAGGTTAAAAAAAAACAAAAACATGTTTTCTAGGATTTTCACCTTAACCACCTTTCACAATATTTCACAGTATAGAAATTCGATTAGACTATTGAAGTTATGTCCGTGACGAATATTGATAAAATTTCAAATTACCAGGAAGTGACTTGTAGTCAACATAAAAATTATCAGTAATAATTTTTTTTATGATATCAAGCGACACGCCTGCCTATTCACGACAGTTGCAGTGTCATTCACGAGCTTTAAATCGCAAAGATCTGAAGGGCACTTGCCACTGCACCCGTCACCCTGAGACATAAATTGACAAGTCCCATGTGCCTGTAATTTCACCAGCACCCTCACCCCTTTAAAACCGGAACGCAGTAATGCTCACATTATTGCTTGACGACAGAAATAGGTAAAGTGATAGTACTTCCCTGGACGAACTCTATCACAAAGAGCTCTACTGCTATTTGTGTGTTTACAAAACTGTTCATTCCTAATGTTTTTTTTTTATTTGAAGGAAGATATTGTAAACATTCTGATTCAGGTAATTGATGCTACATGCGATATGTTCTAAATTAATATAAAATAAAATCTTTGTTTCCTTTCACCTTACATTTTCATCTTTCAAATTCCAATTACCCGAGAGCACGCCGAGACTAGTATTTGGCTAGAGTATATGTAAAAAATAAACAAATATCACATAGTAAAACATCGTAACATTCATTACAATAAATATTACAATTTATTCTGCTTACCATTGGATCCAAAGTTCTCAACAAGAGCTTCAGTACACGCGGAGATGCAAAGAGCACTCGACGCAACATTGGCGAAGAAGAACAATGTCCCGATAGCACCACCAAACTCTGGACCCAGAGTTCGGCTTATCATAACTGTAGTAAAGCGTTAAGGAATGGAAGGAATTCGATAAAAATAAAAACAATTCCGCCATCTTGGTGCATCCGCTATAATATTGTATATACAATGACATCACATAAATTGTATGGTATTGTCATCTGGTTACGCACATCCACCCAAAAGAAGTGTATATAACAATGTACTTGTATGTATAGTGCATGTATTTGAAACCCTACCCAATAGAAGACAATATTTGGTTGTACCCCTCTTCCACCTCTTAAATTTCTATCATAAGGTTGTCTGTAAGAAATAGCTAGTTAGCAATAAGCCCGCCTGTTGTATATTAGCTTATTTCGTGATATAAAGAATATTTCATTCATTCATTCAGAACGAAAGCGATTTTTTCCAATCTCATACTACTCCTTATTGCATTTCCTTTCTTTTAAAATAAAGTTTTATGTCATTAGTCATTGTTAGTGGCGACATTTAGCGGGTCATGTCTGTACTACTAACAGTACGGCATGCCATATCGTATTGACATTACTCTAGCGATTTTGTCTAGAAGCGTCTTAGTTTTGCTATAAAAATTGCAATGCATGCCATGTAATTTCTCTTTTTCCTCTGAAATAAAACAAACGGTTTCACATGCCATATCATCGAATCATTCCATTTTCTCTTCTATTATATCTTTCACTACATTATTATTCTTAGATAAACCTCTAGGCGCATATAACAAGCCACCTTTTAATTAATATTAATAAAAGGATACAGTAAACTCCTCCGCCTTCAACAGCACCATTGGTGGAGATAGCACAAATTGACATCACAGTAAAGAGCACTATTAAATAGGCCATTCCGAATTGTGCTAGAGTCACTAATAGACCTGCATTGCCCACTAGGTAACCTGGAAAAAGAAATAGAAATGTTTGTATCACAAAGACAATAACGTCACCTTCGCAGATTACCTTTCATTTTACCATAGTAGAAAAATCTATACATTTCCCCTTTAATAAACACACTTGTCTATTTCTACCTTAGTAGAAACACCTGTCTATTTCTACCTCAGTAGAAACACCCGTCTATAACAATAATAATTATTATTTATTTTCTCTCCACATACAAGGTAAACTTGATAAATGCTTAATGACTAGAGAGTTTTAATATTAAACCTTATTACTGAGAGACTGGTGGCTGAAAAAGGTGTAACAATATTTTACACTTTACTACAGTTTTTTAGTAAAAGAGGATGAAAATTAAGTTACAATTCAGAAGAATTTATGAATATAAACATTCATATGTGTTGTTAGGTAAAAGAGAAGTGAATTGTATATTTATACTTGAGTGGGTATGTAAATGTGCAAGACTTCAAGTATATCTAACTCTACTGTTATATTTAAGATGTCATTATTATATCGAACTTAATTTAACTTGCTGGACGTTTGGTTTGACTTCAAAGTCCACAAGAATCTTATCATAAATAAAAAAATAAACAGTAGAAACACTTGTCTATTTGTACCTCAGTACAAACATCTGTCTATTTCTACGTCAGTACAAACATCTGTATATTTCTACATTATAGAAATAGTTATCTTTTTCTACCTTACAAACTTTCTACTTATACAGGTCAACACATACATTCCACACGTGTCAATTTACATTATGAATCGTACTTATTATCCAGTTGAGTGACATAATAAACATGATAAATGACGCATGACCAATAACAGTCCCGTAACACAATAACCGCGCGATTGTATTAAGTACATTTACACAATAATTTCGAGTTTATTGCTCGGGTATTCGCCAACAGGATAAGGATATTATTGACACACAGAAAATTATTCAAATCAATAACAAGAATGTATGTAATATTTTTAATATAAATTTTAATTGTTACTTATTGCATAATTTGTTTATGTACAGCATACAATTTAAAAAAATGTTACACTTAGTTTTATTTTCTTATTATTCAGTGCATGTGGACAACAAGATTTGAATATATTTATATGCATCGAGTTCTTAGGTTTTCGCGATTGTTACACGTAGGAAATGAAACTATTTTTCCGGATTCATCAACCAATTATAACTAGTGACTATACCATCTCAGCCAACAGTGACGATGGGACCTGTAAAGGACCCGAAACGTTGGTTTGTTTGAAAAAAAAAACAAATATACGCGAAAAAAGTTTCAATTCCTACATATTTATATGCCTAATGATTGATGATTCACAATGATTGATTAATTGTTGGCGCATAATCTCAGTACAGAATACTAAAAAACCGACCTCAAATGTTTGTAGAATTACATTTATTTGAGAAGTTTTATTGAAATTGGTTACGTAAAGTGCGCGAAACCGATTTTATTCCCTAGTTTGACACACTTAGAGATGGAATATTTTCTTCTAATTTGGGATCAATACTGAGGGTACCCTCTTTCCAACAAAAAACAGAATCATCAAAATCGGTTCCCAAAAAAAGCAGTGGAAATGAGAACCTCCTCCTTTTTTTGAAGTCGGTTAAAAATGGCGAACTGACGATAATATTTACACAAAGCCATGAACGTATTTGTGCACCGCAATCCTCCCCTTCCTTTAACTTCACCCCGCTCTCGCCCGCTCAGTGCTCATGCACGGCAATCACAACAATAAAAACGTAATTATAGAGATATCACTGACATAATTTGACCTATTTTACATGCAGGGTTGTTTGTAAAGTACTAACCACTCCGGAGGACTACATTACTAACACCATAAACAATAACTTAAGGACTATCGAAAAATGACGGTGCACATAAACAGTAAATAAAAAACACTTTACACAGAATCGATTACTCGTGGAACGGCGTTGGTAAATAGACGATTTGAAGGCCAGCATGAATTGCATCTTGTGCAATGTCGGTTTTGATTATAGCACGCTTTCTAACTTGCAGGACAGTCATGAGAATAATTACCTTGAATAAAAAGATGAGATACTATGGAACGCACAGCGTTTTCAAACAAATACCATCACATCAACAAACATCATATTACAAAATTGAAGAGTATGTTTTAGATAAAGAAGTATGGAAAGACAACAAGAGTCTAGATTCCACAATATTATGATTCAAAGTGTATTCCATAGCATTTAAGTTTATTTGAAAAGAGCGATCCCTAGAGTTTCTTGCTCGTTCTTCTCAGGGAGGTCAGCGTAGTGAACGAGCAGTACCTTAAAAACATCGAGTATATATACTCGATGCTTAAAAAAATTACGTTTTCAAGTGTAAAAACTTCACCTATGGAATCATCGAGTATATAACCAGAAATAGAGACGAAATGTCATTTAATTTGTTTGAAAACTATTCTGCCATATCATTACTGTGACAACTGCGCTCCGATTGGCTAGCCCGAGTTCGAAACAATTGACGGGTGTCGTCAATTGTTTCACTTCAAACGTCCAATTAACTTGAGCTTTGCTATAATGAACGAAAATGGCAAAATTACATATTTAATATTTAATTACCGATGAAATGTGGTACCGTGTGTTTTGTAATTAGATGTTTTGCTGTTTTTCTCATACCACCGAATAAAACAGCACGGCATTGTTAGAGATATTATCTTATTACAATAAATACAGAATATTTTTTGGAATATACGGAGACGTACGCACAGGTCTTTTTTATTGTATATACATTCGTTATTTATTGAGTTGTTACCTGGAATATATGGCCCTTATTTCGTCTTTATTTCTGGTTATATACTCGATGTATGGAATAAATGATTGTTTGACTTTGATACTGAGGCAGAAATGGCGGTCCGAAATGTCAGAGGGATCATTTTATTTATAAGTGTACAAGCGATATTTGTACTTTCTCGGATTCGAATTGGACTTAATGCACAAACGACATCCGAAATGGTTCCGAGTTTTCTAGATTTGTATTGTCTCTGATTCGGAAGGAATACGAATCGGATGTAGCGCGCAAACGCGTGACCCTTTTGTTACCGCAGCAGCACGAAAAGTAACTTTATACTTAGTATGAGATTTATAAAACAAACTTTGACGTCAGCAAAAATGACGAGGTAAGTTTTCGTATTTACAAAACGAACTTCGCCTAAGTAGAAGCGAGAAATTAAATTAAACATTGAGTTTATTATATTTTTGGACTAAACTTAAATACGTCTTAAACCAGTGCTTAAATCGATGACTCTTAATACAATATATTAAGAGTGTCTTTTGCATTTTTGCCGTCTGCTGAACTAAAACGTGATTAAGTGACAAAATATTTTTTTTGAGATATCATAAAAAAACCATAACCCAGTTTTAGAATATTGAAATCGTTTAGTTAGTGGATGGCAGGTTTCAAGCATTGGTTTATATTTTAATATTGGCCAATATTCTTACACATTTCTTTTGTAATACGAAGACATCCTGTATGGTGGTACAATTTCTCCATATTCCATTCCAGAGAGTTTTAAGTGAAAGAATGCGTAATATGCTGTAAGGGCAGTTTTAGAGTTGGTTTATTTAAAATTGTTTCATCAATCTACCTTAACTATAACTTACCCATTCGAATAAAAATGAGAGCACTAAACATGGACAGCACGACGGGACAGAAGACTCCAGCGAAGGTGCCCACTTTCTTGATAGCAGTTCGTTCTGCGCGGAACTCTCCGAATTCCACATATCCTGAAATATATATTTGTTTTATTATTAAATTGTTCAAATCATGAATAGAATAATAGTGACGAAAAAAAGAGGCTCTATAGAGCCAATGTGGAAGGCAAACATTGGACGTCGACGGCCGCGGAAAACGCTTTCAGGTCAAATCGAGAATGTTCTTCAAAAGATTAATGAGTGTAAGTGAAGCAAGGTTAAACTGCATCGTGCAAAATGACGAGCTGTAATCTCTGCCTGCCCCAATGTCCAATTCAAATCCACAGTAAATATCCTGTAGATATACCACCGATTATATTAAATAGTATCTAGGACATTTCAGAGACGATATGAGGAGGGAGCGGAGAGCTTTGTCAGTAAGGGCTAATATATTGGTTCAGAAATTCGATCGATGCTTTGCTGCAGTCTAGCCTAGCCTAAAGGTGGCGATTCGAGTTGAGACAGAGACAGGAGACGGAGACAAATGTCTTCGTCTCCGGCGGAGTACTGTGTGCCGAGACCAAGACATACTGAGACAGTGACCACTGTCTAATCAGTATTGCGTTGTCAATCGTTGGAGATACCCGTGTACTGGAAAGTTTTGGGTAATGGAAAGCTATATCAATATTATTACATTTATATTATCCTTCAAATTTTGTATGAGGCAAGCTGCGAATCAAATAGCGCAGGATGTTGTCATAACATTTCGTTTAATTTACCAGTTTCTTCATCAGAAAACGACGTCATCTTTCACTATAACCCACGTGCTTTTCGAACGAGACTCGCGACACCAGGTCCGCGACAAAGACTATCACACTGTCTTCTGTATCGCGTCGCAGTCGTCTATATCGGTTCGGCTTACTAAACGGCGAACTAAACACATACAAAAGTCTAAAGTCAAGTAACGGGTTTGGTCTCCCGTCTCGTCGAACTGCCACCGTTAAGAGAAATGAGAATGCAGAAAGCCTGGAAAATTCCTTCGATGTGTTGTGTTGCAACAGACGCTGGTCCGAGTCCAGTCAGATCGAAGGGATTTTTCTTTATGCTGTTCGATCTTTGTATCAACACAATTGGTCCTAATTTGGAAATCTCTACAGAACACATTGCTAACAACAGTGCCACCGGGATCGTTGAAAACAAATTCCACAACAAACAATATAAATTATCATTAAATATTTCGTTTTCAATGAATCATTGCGCAATATTGATGATTGTAAATACTTTGTTCATATTTAAATTCCAATAGGCATTGCTTCCAAATGACTGTAGAATTGTGAGCTTTAATTCCTTATGAATACAAATAGTTTTCACATGTTGGCCTAATCACTAAAGAAGAGTGGTCAATAATAACCAATAGGATATCGACTCGTTAGGTTTTCGCTTTCGTTATACATAGAAAATAATGATCCGTTGAATGAAACGTTGGTCTGTTTGAAAAAACAAGCAAGTAAGATTTGGATCCGAAAACATAGTTTCATTTCCAAACAGGATTTCATATTTTCAGCAAATAGAGTGGAGATGTCAAAACAAACAAAAAATCCTATTGGTTGTTAAAACATCTTCCTACTTTGAAACATCATGAAGGAAATAAAAATCTCTTACCATTTTCAACTTTTTCTACAATTCTCACCATGATTCCAATCTTCAAAACGGAACAATAGTATACCAGGCTATAATGACGATTATCTGATCTTAAAGTAAGGAATTTCCTGTATTACAAGTATACCAGTGCAAAATTAACTCTGGGGCAATTCTAAAATTCAGAACACCCAGATCAGAAACAAATTACAATAGCTGATTTCCGAAATACGTCCCAATGGGATCTATCAACTAGCGTCCACAGAGCTAGACGCTGGACCACTAAGATCTTGAATTTCAGACTCAAGCAGCAGCTACCATTCCAAAACTGGTCAGCGAAAACCTTTTTAAATTCTATAAACACTTCTTCACTAACTGCACCTGCATTATAGTTGCAGTTTAAATGTAAACTGATAAACAATTCATTATTTTAAAGTCCAATATCCAGTATTATCAATTGTTTTTTTGTTCATAGCGACCTTGGCCGGGTGAATAGCAACAATAGAGGGATATCACGGTTTGACTGAGTGTTAATTAAGCAATGACGGGTTTATTAAAGATACTTTCAGGTCATTTAATTGTTTTCAATATTTTTTCATGCAGGTAAAGTTCCCGGTCAATTTCGAAAATGTTTTTCGGCTGAAGGTCGAATAATCAATACCTAATTCCTGATGATGTCTCGTAGAGAAACAAAACACGTATCAGGTATATTTTTGGAGCTAGTTTTTTGCTGTACCTAGTTGCATTTGTGTTATTAATTCTATGCGGATTTGCACGATTCAACCTTGACTGGGTTCGCAGAGTAGCAAAGTAATTTACATCCATTTTTATTCATGTGTACTGACCGACGACTCCACGCCTAGTGAACATTTGAAAATACAAAGAGCGGTTACCAGGGGCCTTCTCTAAACACGAAGTAGTTACGGCCGTTTTTTGGATTACTTACAGACTTGAGTTTCGGTAGGGACTAGAAGTAAGAATGTATGACAATGCGATTTGACAGTTTCGAATGGGCCCGTCTTTTCGTTGACGGACTTCGAGAGTAGTTCCGTATGTCATCTATAGTGGAAAAATGGCCAGCAAAGCGGAAGACTGGTCACTGGTTTCTTTTAATTAATCATCTGAATTATCTATTTTTGCCGGCAAGCAGTAACGTCAGTATTACTGTGTTCCGGTTTTGAAGGGTAAGTAAGGGTCTTGGTGAAATTACAGGTGCATGGGACTTGTCAACTTATGTCTCAGGGTGACGGGCGCAATGGTAGTGCCCCGCAGATCTTTGCAATTTAAAGCTCTGAGTGGCACTGTAACTGTTATGGATCGGCGGCGTGTCGCTTACCAGCAGGCGCATTTGTATTATATGAAAAAAGAATGTGTTAACAAAAGCTAAATAATAATAACGTACACACTCAACATAGCCCCGCACTAGGGAAACCCTGTGTCGCGGGTGCCATGGACACACACGTAGACAACCACAAATTACACCCAAACTCACGAGAGAAATAAATGTAGGCCATACAAATATTTCTCCCGACCCGGGAATCGAACCTGGGACCTCTGCATGGCATGGTAACCGTTCGGCCACGGAGGGAGTTAAAAAAAAGCTAAATAATCAATTATTTAGTTTAAAACTTATTACTACTTGTAATAACTATCAGATATTCGATTTGGGTGTAATCAATAAAAAAAACAAAATGGCAACACAAAACAAAATGGCAAAAGATATTAGTGGAGTCGTTAAAAAAAGGATGGTAGATGGAAGCGAATTCACGGATGAAAACTGATTTTTCTGAAAAGATCATTGACTTACAAATAAATGGACGACGGGTCTAATACAAAAACCACGAAAAAAATGTCCCAAGTCAACCTATTCAAAATTTAAATTGTAATGTCATCGCAGTATCGCGCTGTCAGTCGAACAAATGAAGACTAAAGCGGAGTTTGACTCTCTGTATACGATTTTAACGCCTTACAAGTTCGGACACTTTTTAGCGCGGACCCGACGTCCATATAATTGTAAGTCAATGGAAAAGATGTATGTTTTTACGGGTTTTTAAGGGATTACATACCGGATTATAGGTGCAAAGTTTCATTTTAAAATTATATGCTTAAGCTTATAAATGCATTAAGATTATTACCTTCTCCTGGAGCTCTCCCAGCCGGCAATCTGCCGAACCTCAATCGCAGCTTATTCATCAGACCCGAGGGTCGGGAAGACGAGTTGACACTCGGAGCCAGCGGGTCCATAGTTTCAGCCATTGTAGCTGGCTTCGTCACTGAAACAACACTGGTAATAAATAAACACAATCTTGTTTTTGCAACAGTAATAATATGATACAGACTTACGTATTTTTTAAGCTTAAATCCTAAATGCATGGAATTTCTTAGTGGCGAATGTAAATCTAGTTCGGTTATGAAATTTAGCAACCTATAAATCTATGTATACTGTCCCCGTGCATCTTCTCATGAATAGTCTAGTTTCAACGTTTTAGGACAAAATGTCCTCGTTCTTTGTTTAATTACGTACTCGTCATACGTTACTGTTTACTTTACACAACTAAAAACACAGTGACTAATTGAAGATTAAAACTCATGGAACTTAGTTCCGCTACTAATTAAGTAACTTGAACTCCCAACAACCCAGTCTGAAGTTCAGATTGAAATGTCAATTCGAATATATTTGGCAACTTTGGTGGCCGAACGGGGAATGGGCTTTAGATGAGGACAAATATTTAACTTTTCTAAATTGGTTCAATTTGGATGTTTTGGTTAGAGCCCAAGAGTGAATTCTAGGATCGGTATGATTGTTATTATTTTAGACTTCTCAAAGTATATTTAACAGAAAATCATAATTTTTACTCACATTTCGCGCCCCTCATGGAAGAATGGCATAAGTGAAATTACGTCTGACATGTCTATTGCTCGATTAGATACAGACAAATATAACCTACATCCTCCTCAATTGGATAGGATGTAGATTATATTTTTCTGTATCTATAAATAAATCTGTATCTATAGATAAAGCACGGAGAACTAAATTAATAATAACAAAAAAGTATAGAAAAAAACAAATAATATTCAAAGACGATGAATTAGTTAATAACAGTGGGAGGGTGGGGGAAGGAGGGAGTTTTTAAATAAATAATGCAATTAAAATTAAGGATAAATAGTGTTAACAATACTTTTTTATAATGATCAATTAGCCAATTGCTCCATTGTTATTACTGTATGTAATTGTTATTTCTATGGTTCACACAGTTTCCCTTGACCATTTATTAGATGGTTATCATTCAACATCATATTAAGTATATAAAGTTTTATATAGTTTTGTTTAATTACACCCGGAACACTTATATCTCTATAAAGTTTAGGTCCTTTTTGGTTTATAATCATTGTAGTACTGAACATGATTTTAATTTGGGAATTGAAACTATTTGTCCGGATTTAAATCGCGTATATTTGTTTTTTCAAACAAACAAACAAAATTTGGGACCTGTAAAGGGCCCGAAACGTCGGTGTGTAACAATCGCGAAAACCTGAGAACTCGAGGTGATTTTAATTGTCAAATAATTATGTAACCACAAGATGACAGGTAAGACTTCGTGCTAATCACGCAATTCTTCATTTCCTTGAAGCCTCCGATGACCTACTAGCAGCTACTTCAGCGTAAGATTAAATTAACATCTTATAATATCTACTTATAAACGTTTATTGAAAAAAAAACCAAATTAAACAAAAGTTGTTTTTTAGATTTTTTAATGAAGCAGAAATAGCTGAAAATTTAAAAATGGTAACAGTTTGACCTTGATTAAATCAAACTTTCATAAATAAAAGAACTTTTTCCACTAAAGTTTACGAAATTGACAGCAACTCGAAATCAACCTTCTCAAATGAAACTTAAAATGAAAAAGTAAAATAAAATGCCAGATTTTTTAACAAATAGAATAGAATAGAATAGAATACGTTTATTTGCCAGAATACAGTA